TTGGGTGGTGCTGCCCTAGAGAACAGCCTTCTGTCATCACACTTAGCCACGCAGCTCCTCTCTCCTTGGATGTCCCCCACCCCCGTCCGCTTCGGGAAGGAAACCCACACCAGCTTCGCGGGCCTAGCAGCAACAGTGACTGCAGACTCCTGATCAAACCCAAAATCACAGAGGCATCAGTGACGCCGTGGGACAAAGGGGAACGTTTTTTGAGAATGAAGTTTAGTGATGTGTGAAGCGCATAGAGAATATTACGGGGGAAAACAGAAGACCAAGCAATATATAGAACATTCCAGTTTTGTGTAGCTCTATCTGGCCATATCTGAATGTGGAAATTAAAAAAGCTTTTTCCTTCTTTGTTTATACTATTCTGCTTATTCTGGTTGGTACAATTAATTCCATACATTTTTTAATATATATAATTAGAAAAACAGGTGTGTTTTTAGAAGGGAAGAAACTTCCCAAAATTGACAAGAGGAGGAATGATTCTGCTTGACATTCAGGAGCTGCAGCTTGGGTAGATCCAGTTTATCTGTAGATTCTTCCCTGTCCCCCACCCCTGCCGTTTTTGGAGGCAGAATTATGGGGGAGGGGTGGTTTTATAACCGGAGGTGACAGCTAACAAAATTATTGCCAACATGAATGTCTGGGTGTGTTCTTACACTGCTGTAACTATGGGTGCTCTCGCCCCAACTGCATTCTCAGTCCTCGAGGACAAGGTATTATCTTCTGTTTCTTGGTTTCTGCGACAGCCCCTTGGCCAGCACCGACCCACGGACTGACTGATTAGCTGACCTTGCCGTCACTCTTATGCCCACGAAATGTGTTAACATCTGGCTTCATTTTGCTTTTGGTCCGAGAGGTAGAGTTCCATCCAAATTCACTCCACGAAATCCAACAGCTGGAATACAGGAGCCATTCATCAGAAAATGGGTTAGGCTTTTTCAGGATTTGTGCGTGTGGCAAGACCCTAACGGAATTTTTTAAAATTTTGTTAGTTTTATGGAAGTAGCACTGGGAAGAGGGTCTGTTAAAGCTCTTGGATTTGACCCCAGCCATCCACACCAGTGTACTTGGCATCTCCAGTGACTGGCGTCTCGGAGGGAGGGATTTAATAAAGAGGATTTTCTTTCCCCAAGTTGGCTGTGAGAGTGATCCAGCGTGCTTGCGGGGCCATTCTGGTTTCAACTGTTTTCCGTGTCAGCCAAGACATCCGCAGGCAAGAATCACAGTCCACTCTGCCTTCTGATGCCGATCCAGGCGGCCGGGGAAGTCTGGGGGATGGAACCCGGTGTGTTCTCCACATGACCGACCTTCTGTACTCACACATCACTACACTCAGATGGAGGCTGAAGCCAGGCAACATTCCTGCTCTCTTAGAAGCAGGAGAGAAGATAGGAAAGAGAGAGAATTGGTTTTCACGAAAGGCCAATGAAGGTCTCTATCCGTGTGCCTGACATACCTGAATGATTAACGTCCCTATTTGGGGAGTTGTGGCACTTGAGTGAGAAATGGCTTCTCTTCTTGGAAGGGTAACAGTACACTGAGGAACAGTATTGGGGAATTGATGGGTGACAAATCTGAGCAGAGCCAGCAGAGTGATAGAAAGAGCAAATATTGTCTCTTCTCCTCAGTGAGGAGGCATTACATTCTAATAAACCAGCCATGGTGGTCCACGGTCATGCTTTCCTCCTGATATGTGTGTCTGGCCACCAGGTACCCCAAATCAAGATCAGTCCAAGGAGCCTCCCAAGCCACAAAGCCACTCATCCCAGGTTCCTTCAAACCACTCAAACTTGTTGCTGTTTTGAGCCTGCGCGGGGGTGAGTGAAGAAATCAAGATATGCGTTAATTAGTGCAGGATCTAGGAACCAATATGGGCAAGATACATACAGCTCAGATCCCCACAGGGACAAGAATGTTCCAGAGAATTTTGCCTGGGAAGTGGGTATGCATCTCATGCCTGTTGCCATGTCCATTCTCACACTGGGTTATTATTGAGGGACTTACCTGTTGCCCTTTCGAACATTTTATTTCTCTTAATAACTAGGGTTTTTTTAATTTTTGAGGACTAGGTTGTTATAAAATCATGTCACTTTTTAATTTTACTTACTTAACAAACACATGTATTATATTAAAAAAATATACAAGTATTATATAATTATGTTATCAAATTATATTCTATAATATGTACATATGAACTCATTCAATCTTCATAATAACTCCTGTGAAGTGTAGGTACTACTTTTAGCCCCATTTTACAGATTAGAAAATAGATACTGGAAGGCTAAGTAATTCACTAAGATTACACAGTGGGTAAGTGGGTAAGTAGGACTCAAACCCAGGAAGTCTGGCTCCAGCACACTTGCTCCTCACCACTACTAAAACTCAGAAAAATATAAAGCAAAAAACCAGCCTAAAGACAACCATAGGAAGGTGGCCGTACCAGGGCGCCTGGGTGGCTCGATGGGTTAAGCGTCCGACTCTTGATTTTGGCTCAGGCGGTGATCTCAGGGTCTTGAAATCCCGCTTAAGGATCTAGCAAAACCTCCATGTTGGGATCCTGCTTAAGATTCTCTCTCTCCCACTCCTGTCCCTCCCCATTCTCTCTCTCCCTCTCCCCTTCCCCGCCACTCACGTGCTTTTCTCTCTCTTTTGCTCTCTCCTCTAAAAAAACAAAGAAGAAACATTGCCTCGCCATCCATGCTATGCATGGACTTGCCCATGACTGCGCCCAGTCTCCACATTCAGTTTTGTATCTTGCTTTTGTTTTCTTCTGAACCTTATATAATGGTCTTTCCCTGTTGTTAAAAACTCCTTGTAAATACTGTTTTAGTGCCTACTTAATGTTCCCATCATGTAAACGTACCACTCTGCTGAATCATTCCCTTACGGTTGCCCGTTTGGCTCTTCGGCTTTCTGTTCTGACTAGCACTGTAACGACTACTTCTATGCAGAACTTCTTCTGTTCTTTGGAAAAGACTCTGAGAATACCTCCTCAGAAGTAAAATCCCCAGGTCCAGGTGTACGAGTAGGAACACTTTTCAGGCTCTAGATACAGGTTGTCCAGTGGTTTTCCAAGAAGCTTGCGCCGTCACAGTGTCTGCAACACTGGACAAAGTGACTTTGTCATTCTCACACCTGCACTGAGAATGACTTCTAGAAATCTTTGCTAATGTGATAGGTAGAATGTGGTATTTTATTATTGTCTTCATTGTATTTCTTTGTTGGCTAGAGGATTGAGTTGGTTCATATTGGTGGATCAGTTATCTGCATCCTCAGGTGGTCTAGTTGGGTCCTTTGCCCATCTGTCTGTCGAGATCCTAAGAAGCCTTTGGAGATCCAACAGAGAAGGGCGAATGGTTTCCCATTCTTTCTTCTCCTGCCTTGACATGGTATCCCCCTGAATATTTTTCTAGTCTATACGTCTATACATGCTTTTAATCTTCCCCCCAAACCTTATGTGCATTTTTCTCTGGATTCCGTATAAAGTATTCTGTCTGCTTTGAAAGGATAGTACTTCATTTTCTGTGGGTGTGCCCCATGCATAAATCCACATGGGTCCCTCCGTCTTGGATCATAAGCTCCTAGAGGGCCAGACTGTGTCTTTAGGAGCAGTTCTGCACACATGCTTTGGGGACGTCCCCAGCAGCCACAGAGCCCCTGGCCAAAGGTGATGTGAGCGTTTACACAGGCCACCTGGAGAACACTAACCAGAAATGGGAGGGTGATGAGCATAGTAGGCTGGATGCGTCGCTGTGCCCTGGTTATACTTCAAGAGAGCTGAAAAAAAAAACCCCAGATAACAGCTCCCCTACCTATTGATCATTAAGAAGGGGCTGTTCTAGTGGAGGAAGGCACATAGGACTAGGGAACCAAAGCCCATGAATTGGTCCTGTGTTCTCCATCATTATGAACCATCAATATGAACCATGGGTCACATTCTCTACTAATCCCTCATGGGTTTTTCTACCAGAGTAGTGATATCAGTAATAACTGATGTTCTGAAGCACCTTAAAATGTTATATATGGTCTTTCTTTGCCCCAAATCTTCACAATAGTCAGTGGAAACAGTCACGTTTTGCAGTTGAGCAAACAGATACAGCGAGATGCAACTCTCCCTTCAATAAAGCATCAAGTGAAGATTTCATTATTAGATTTGCAAAAGCATATTATGCTCCAGGAAAACAGTCCATTGACTTACATGTGTCATGAGGCCAAGAGGAAGAAGGAAAAGGTAAGGTATCTTGGGGTGTGGAGGGATCGTGGAAAAGGACCACAAACACCCCCCAGGAAACCTCTGTCACACAAGAAAAAAACAATGAAAGAGTTTAATGAAACAAAATCAGCAGAATGTTGATGATTATTTTCAAATATTAAGCAATCTTTCCTCAAATTTCTTCATTACATGGTATCTTCCAGTTGTTCCAGTTCCTGCAAAGATTAACAATAATAATACAGCACATCCCATCCTAAGGGATATTCTGTGTACCTATTCAAAATAGTCAAAAGTCTATAAATGTGTATGAACTTATCTGTTAGAAGGACAGTTGGGTGGATAGATCTATGTTGTTGTTGTTTTCAGGTGGGCCTTGTTAAGAGCATGTTTCAGGTTTTACCAAATGTGAAAAGCAGAATCGAATATAAGATAAAGGAAGTTAAGATAGGCTCAAAACCTGGTGGCAGGGATGGGGTAGGCATGTTCTCTGCGGGTCAGGCCTGCCGTCTCCGGGCTCTTGAGAGCATCTAGGGGAGGGCAGAGGCTGTTCAGCTGCCCATCCTGGAGCCGCAGGTAAAAATGTCAGAAGCCAACTAGCTTTGACAGCCCCTGAAGGTAGAAGAGCTTCTGGCTCAAAGTGTGCATTTCAGAGGCTTGCTCCGAAGATTTCACAGGTGGGCTTAAGAGTGAGAGGCCACTTGTCACGTGGGGGTCTCGCTGCGCCAGGGTGGTACTGGGGACTTAGGCTCTGCAGGAGCTCACGGCCATGCTTGCATTGCAGGATTTTACGGGCAGCTACAGACGTTCCGCCCCCCCCAGTATCCCGACTCCCAGAGAGCCGTGCTGCCCAGCAGCCCCTGCAGCGGGGTGCCTTCCTTCGAGGACTGCCTGGCCCCCACGCCCATGGGGCAGGCCGGCTTTGACGTGTTCCACAGAGCCTTCTCCGCTCACTCGGGCATTGCAGGTGGGTGGCTGTCTGTGACTTAGAAACCCTGGCAGACTCGCAGGTGGGACCAGGTGGGTTTGCCGTGTCTGGGCTAGACGAGGCTTGACCTGGCACATGACTGCATCATGTCCTGTTGAATCTGCCCCTGAAATGTCTCTCACTTTCATGCTCCTCTCCAGCCCTACTCCCACCGCCCTGGCTCAGGGGGCCATAGTGTCTCTCCCAGACCGTGGCAATAGCCATAGCCTTCCAGCAAGTTCCCTGAGTCAACTGTCTTTTTTTTTTTTTTTTTTTTAAGATTGATTTATTTATTTGACAGAGAGATACAGCGAGAGAGGGAACACAGGCAGGGGGAGTGGAAGAGGGAGAAGCAGGCTTCCTGCTCAGCAGGGAGCCCAATGCGGGGCTCGATCCCAGGACCCTGGGATCCTGACCTGAGCCGAAGGCAGACGCTTAACGACTGAGCCACCCAGGTGCCCCTGAGTCAACTCTGTCTTTACCCTTCTGCCCCCCATACTGCCATGATCATTGCCTTCCAAAAATGAAGGATAACATAAGCCCCTTCCCTCCTTGAACACTTTCGATGGCCTCCAGCCGCCTAAGCATAAAGGCCCCATGAGATGGCCCGGTCACGTAGGCCCGCCCTCACAGAGGTCTCGCCACATGTGCTGCCCCTGAACTTGGCCCCACAGCCCCTCCCTGTCCATCTTTGCGCTCTGTTTCCTCCTAGAATGTTCTTTCCTTACCTCTCCCATCTGTGAGAATCCCATCTTTATGACTCAACTTTGATACCGTCTCCTTTCTGAGGCCATCCTCACCCTTGCTTAGAACACTTTTACTTCTACGCAGCCCGTATTTTGTGCCAAGACTGATTGTGGCCATCTGCCTGCAAGTCCACCTCCCTCCCCACTGAGGTCCCTGAGGACAGAGCCGCTGAAGGGCCTAGCCCTTGGCGCCCCTCAGCATTTGCTGCCTGCACGCACGGTGGGTGGGGCCAGGCGCGATTGTGAACTTTCCCGTTCTTTCTCTTCCAGTGTATGATTTGCCTTCAGGGTCCTCAAGCCTCTTCGGGGAGTCTCTTCGCAGCGGGCCTGAGGACGCCACGTTCCTGCAGATCAGCGCCGTGGACCGCTGTCCTAGCCAGCTCTCCTCTGTCTATACCGAAGGCTAAATGCTCCCCTGGCCTCCACCCCCACTGGCACCCAGAACCTTTTTGTCGCTTGCCACCTTTTATTTTCATATTCTCAGAGACTGCATGAAAAGGTTGTCCGCCTCATCGGTGGACCCTGCAGAGGCACAGACGTGTCTCTGGAAGGCAGGACTGGCCGGAGCCGGGCTTTGCAGGAATGTGTTCAGTTGCTCCTTTTTCCATCTGGGTTTGCTGGTGACCAGCAGGACTGGCTTTTCAAAGGGAATTTAGAGTCACTCTACCGGATACCTGTGACTTCCAGCTGTCAGCTCTCAAAGGACACCAGTGAAAGGATGCATATATGAACATAGAGTCTGGGGATCACACTTGCACAGAACTCCAAAGAGGGAAGGACAACCCAAACTGCCGGAAGCACAGTGAACTCCCCCACTGCTCCCCGTCCCCGCTGGTTCCTGCAAAATCAGGCAACAGGGGAAACCTACATCCAAGCACAGCTTGGGCTCAACTCCTGGAGAAGCCCTGGCTCCTGGCACCAGCACTGGCCTGGCAGCCCGGGGAGCTGGCTGCCTCTTTCCTCTTACTATGCCCATGCTAACCAGTTGCTTTTCAATATTTCTCTGAAAGCAAAATAAGAAGGTTCTGTCAAGCACAGTCCCTTGAAAGGCACTACAACTTGTTTTATATTCCAGCAACTTATCTTAGTTCTTTTATTTTTAAAGACTTGTTATTTACATCTACTTTTAAAGGAAAAAAAAAATATTTAGAGGTCTGTTCTTTGGATGGAAAGAATTAGTGTAATCACCCCACTTATGTCCATTTTGCCACCGCTGTAGCTTGGCCTGGCCCCACCTCACCGCACCTGTGAGCACCCCCCCCCCCAGTAGTTTCACATTTCACAAAAGCCACCTGAGGGAAAGGGGGTGGGCCCAGCCCCCTTCCCGGGGCCATAGCGGAAACCCTGGTGGGTTGACTGTTCAGTGACTCCACCTCGAAGACCTCATTCCACGGAAAAGATCGCTGATTGACCCATTGCCTCCACTTGGTACTGTGCTGAGTCATGCTAGAAGATGTGAGAACAGGGGCCCCCTGAGCTGAGATCCTGGGTTCTCTCAGAAAACCCAACGAGAGGTGCCCAGTGTCCAGTGATTTTTGCATAGCTTCTGCTCACCTCCTTTCGGATACCCACTCACCGGTCTGTCTGTCCCTCCCCCGTACTGTCCTCTCCGTCCTCATCATTATTCTCACCTCCTCCTTGTCTGCAGTCAGGCGCAACCCACCCGCCCTCGCCTGACCATCCTTCCTCCCCGCAAGGTCTGCTCTGAGGCAGGTAGAGGGAAAGTTCAGGGAAGGTAAGCAGAAGAAGTTAACTTTTTTCCCTGAAACTCTCCTTTGAGGGCCTGGAATGTTCACAGAGCTCTTGGGCATTTGATAGCAACCCTGAATAGGAAACCACTTTCTGGGATGCATTGACAAAGCTATTAAAAAGATCTTAAGTCCAACACATAGATCCTAAAAAGTAGCCACACCCCAAAGACACGGGGTAAAGCCTGACATTCCAGAACTGTCACATTTCGGTTTCTTTCCTCTTGTAAAATGAAATAGTGCTATTTGTCCCACTGAGATCATTACAGTCTCCAACAAGGGTTCACCAGCACGGTGTCACACCTGGGACCCGGGGACAGTTTGTCTCCCTCAGTCGGGCTGCACGGGCTGGACTTGATCCCCATGTGCCATAGAGTGAGGGGACTAACGAGCCACGCGTCGGGGTCGCTTTTCCAGGGCCCGAGGTCAGTCTGCTTCCTCTGACTCGTGAGCTCTGATCCGAGAAAGGCCACCATGCAGGCATCCAGAGCTGCAAAAGAGTGAGGTTACTCACTTTACAAAACTGCTCTGCTTTACGAAGCAAGGCTCCTGCGGCTTCCCAGCCAGACGAGCTCCCAGACTGCGAGTAAATGCCAGCCTCCTTGCAGACGTTGTGGGTTCTGTCACTTGGTGTAAACCAGGACACGTGCATGCTAGCGCTGCTGTCCCCTGTGTGTCCCCGTGTCCCACTCCGGAAAGGAAGGTAAGCTCCGATAGCGTTAGAGAATGTGTCCGTTCTTAAATTCCTTTATGAGGAACTCAGAACATACTTCGTACTTGGTGTGACGAGGAGGAAAAAGATGAAAAGCAAGGGGTTGTTGCTTTGATTGCAGTGACGTCAGCCCTGCCTTGTGGCTTTACATAGTTTGAAGTGGACAGTGGGGAGGAGGACAGAGCCAGAAGCCGAACCTCAGGCACCGTGAGGGTCGTCTTCCTCTTTGGCTGGAGGATAAGCCCCTGCGCCAGTGCCTGGTCTGACCGTGGCCTCACGGCGGCCCTGCCCGTCTCTCGTCACTGCTGGGGGGGGGGGGGGGGGGACACCTGCAGGGCCTCCTTCCTCGGCAGAAAAGGGCATGGGTGTGAGCATGGGGCAAGCACGGCCAGTGCAGCCTGCAAGCTCGTGTCCCCGCACATGGCCTCGTGTCCCCGCACATGGCCCTCAGTGTTTCCTGATGGCTACAGGTTTGAGCTCAGCCCTCAGGGCCTGACACGGTCAGGTTCCTTGGAGACGGCCCAGGCTGTCCTTGGCTTCCAGAATCTCACCTGACCTTCCGACCTGTCCCTTGCTGGCTTTCACATTGCTTGAGATTCACAGATGCGTTCATCATCATGTGTGTAGCAGTGAAGGTAGAAACTTCAGAGAATTCATTCCCTTCCATTTCCTGGCCTTTTTCGTCTTGCTGTGTAACCAGCCATTTTCATAAACATCTGAGCAGAGATTGTCATTCCCCCTTTTTAGAAAAAAACAAAAAAACAAAAAAACAAAACTGGTGCTTGTGAAAATACACACAGCCCAAGCCAATTATCCTATTACATTAAAAAAAAAATCAGTCTGCCTAGAGACATTTCGTTTGTTGCATTGTCTTAATTCCTTAAAGGCACCGCCTCAAAATGTCAGTTGTAATTTAGCTGCTGATTAGCTGTTGAATATTATTTAAGGATGTACTGGTCCTGTGGGGTGTCCCCCTTTGCCCCTGTCTCCCCCGATTGCATAGGTGATTCGAAAGCCGACAGAAGGCGTTCGGTGGACCCACTGGTAAAACAAGAGTGTGGGTGGTGGTCTGCTGTTTTTAAATTCCCTGCTGTCAAGCACATTACTGCTACGTTAGAGCAGAGGTAAACGTCCAGCTACCCTGTCCAAGAACCTCGACTGTCCAGTTGCCTTGAAGTATCAGGAATAGCGACTGTAAATGTCCAATTTAATTATTTGGTATTTTATTTGACTGTTTGACCTTGACGTTTTCTAGCAGCATTTTGTAATGGCACTTTTTGTTAGTGGTGTGGGGTTCCTGCAGTTACTTTTTTTTTTTTTTTTTTTGCAATGGATAAAGCAAAAAAAAAAAAAAAGAAAGAAAAAACCAAAAACCAGTCATTGGAGAAATGGCGAATGTAAAAAAAAGAAGAGATTTATTTTGTACAGACAGAAGAGCATCCTGTGTAATGTTGCTGACATAAAGCACTTTGGGGGGGAAAAGTGGAAATCTGGTTTCCATAAATCACACAGACTCTTGTACATAGTTATATACACTCACGTAGAGAAATGAACTGCATATATCATACTGGATATGGGGCCGATTTTTCTTTAGGGGCGCATCTGGTGCTTATTGTCATAAATCTTTTAAAGAATTAGGTACACTTTTTTTCTATTAATATGTATAGTTTTGTGATTTGTCACAGTTATGTTTCGTATAATCATAAGTTATTTTGTCTTGTTTCATGAAGTCCTTTTTTTTTTTTATGTCAAAAGTAAAATGAAGGGATTGTGCCCTTGGTACAGAATAAAACTGGAACTGGAGAAAACGGCCCACCTGCCTGAAATCCCTGAAATCCTCCTTCTGCACGGCCTTCTGAAACACAATGGGAACAACCCAGGGTTTTGTTTGTTTGTTTGTTTGTTTGATTATTGTGTTTTGTTTTACCATAAGCCTCCTTCCTATTGGGATGGTAATTATAATCAAAAGCAGATGGGGGTGGGGGAGGGCGAGTCCAAGGCCAGCTTGAAAATGCCGCATCGCTTTGGGCCAGAGCTGCAGCCTGGATTTAATTATAGATATGAGGACAAAATGGCAGTAAAAATGAATGTGTCCCCGAATCCTTTACATGTTGGGAGTGTCCATAAATAAAACATGAAGTTTTATTTCATCAGATTTAATTAAAGCTTTTATACATGTTTTATTGGTTACTCTATTAATCCGCCTCCCAAACTGGATAAATGTGTGCTGGCGCTTGGGGTTTATTTGTCCCTTCTCAATGCAATACCACATCATGTGTCAGAAATGCCACTACGTGCTTGGTCCTTCGGGTGAGGGGCTTAGGGCATGCTGGCCATGCGGGGTTAGGCCTTTTCGGCCCTGTTCTCCTAAAACCCTGCAGAAAAAGACACAAGCGTCTGCTTCCCGTGAGCTGATACCCCGACCTTTGAAGTCCTGTGATTGCCCGAAGGAGAAAGGGCGGTTGCCGTGCACTCGGCAGGCTTTGGAAGGCCACTTGACTCACTGGCTGTGATGAGCTTCCTTCCTCAGCTCCCAACACGGGACCTGGAGCGGTTAGGTAGGGAGTGGGTGGTCAGGGCATTCTCACACCTGGCTGACCTGGAGCCACGCACATGAACCTGAAAGAGATCATCTTCTCTCAAGAATCATTCTTGGAATATTGACGGTCTATTTGCTACATTTTTAAAAGACTTAAGCTATGAAGCAGTAGAGATGATGGGTCTCATGCACCTTGTCTGTCTCTTCAGGGAACTGAGGGGCAGGCAGCAGACCCCTGTGGTTTAGGTTTTGAAGATAGAAATAGAGCTGAGAAGACTCAAGAGAGTTCTCTGCTCCTTAAATAAGGAGGCAGCTGGTGGGAGCGTGAACCGGTTCAGCGTCTTTGGGGAACAATTTGGCATTAACTGGTAGAGTTGAAGATACGCATAACCCACGATCCAACAGTTCCACGCCTCTCTCTCTCTCGAGAGAGAGAGAGAGAGAGAGAGAGAAACTCTTGCATAAGTCAATGATGGTTCAGATGCAAGATGTTCACAGCATTGCTATTCACAATGGCCCCAAACTGGAAACTCCCCACCTGTCCATCAACAACAGTAAAATGAAGAGATGAACTTTGCTGAAGTCACAGAGTGAGAAAGGCCAGGCAGCAAAGGCGGTTACACACACACGCTCAGAGCTGAGTCCCACAAACTATGTTGAGAGAAAGAAGCAAGACACGAAAGAAAGCAAATGTACAGTCTTCTATTTATATACGGTTCATGAGGAAGCGTAATTCATTTGCAGAGCTCAGGTGGTAGAAGTATCAAGAACAACAAGGAAGATGTTATCACAAAGGTCCAGGTACTGATTAACTGAGGTCAGGACGAAAGGACACACGGAGGACTTCTGGGGTGCTGACCAGCACTGTTTTATTTCTTGACCCACTTGTTAGGTTAAACAGGTGTCTGCTTTATAATTAACTGTGTGTGTGTGTGTGTGTGTGTCTATATATATATTTTTTTCCTAGCTTTGAGTTCAAATACCAATGAAAGCCGGGCCTTCCCTCCCCGACTCCAGGGGTCTGCACACTTTTTCAGCGAACGGCCAGAGAGGACCTGTTTTAGGCTTTGAGGGCCATGTGGTCTCAGTCTCAGCCACTCAGTCCTGTCGCTCAAAAGCAGCCACAGATGACATGCAAACGAACGGGTGTGGCGGTGTTCTCATAAAACCCTGTTTGTGGGCACAAATTTGAATTTCACACAACTTTCAGATGTCATGAAATATTTGTCTTCTTTTGATTTATTTCAACTATTTAAAGCTGTAAAAAATCAAAAACATTCTTAATTCACAGGCTGTATGAAAACAAAGGGAAGGCAGCCGGCGGGATTTGTCCCGTGGGCCGTAGTTTGCTGACCCTCGCGGACAGGAGGCGCGTCTTCCAGCACTTTCCACAGATACCCACGCGAAGAAAACCGCAATTCAGACCCTCTGCCGATCCTTCCACTGCGCCGGGTCCTCTTCCTGGAGGAAATTCATGAGTTCTATTGATTAAGCTTTTCTTTGTTTAGATTCTGGGTCCTGCTCCCCGGGATATAGATGAATGCTCAGAGCTTGGAGTGCCATTCGACTTTATCTCTGGATTTGAAGTTTTTAATAAAAGGAACTGGGCGTGCAGAAGTCTGGGGGAATTGGAAAACGAGCACCCATTCTTTCCAGGCTAACCAAATATTTGCTGGCTCTTGGCAGCCCTAGCCAACCATTTCCTCTGAAATGCTGAGAGGTTATGGGCATGGGAGACTTCATTTTTCTCAGGCCGTAGCTCTTAGGAGAAGCCGGTGCTGCCTCTCGAAACCTGCAGGGTCCTCGGGGAGGGGAGAGTTGGGCTTTTACGTTCAAAGACTGTGCCAGGAAATGGTGGGAGCACTCTACCCTTGCTAACGGTCTGTGCCCCCTCCAAGCAGCAAAGAGGATGCTGCACCAGCTCCGGCCCCTGGTCCCCCCTATGCCTCCCTCCCTAACCCTCAAACTTCGGGGTTCTTGACTCTAACAATGCTGCCTCTCAGCTACTTGCTCTTAGAATGAGACGGAATTCATCCGGGCACAAGCATCTGCCGCTCTTCGCCTCTCTAACTGACGATAAAATCGACAGCGTCAAGAACACGGGTACTCATGAGTCCCGGGTCATTTGCTCAATACCAGCGCGGACTAAATCCTCTTCGGCAGGTCTCCCCAGTCATTCCGGGTGCTTGGGCTTGTGTATCGTGTACGGTTCTGATGAAGTTTCCTGGGCAAAATACCCTGAACTTTAGAAAGAGAAGTTTAACGACGAGAAAACGTAGAGAACGTCTCTTCCAACCTCACCTTTTACAGAAGAGGGAACAGCTGTTTCACTCATTCATGCCTACACGCCCTCCTTCCTCATTCATTCGTTCACTCATTCAATATTTATCGTGTATAAGACACAGAGGAGGAAGTGGTGCTTATCCTCACAGAGCTCACAACAGGGGCATTCTGAGAATCATCCGCGCAAGAACATTGCCTGGGGTGCACACCCCAGAGCTACCGAGTAGGAATTTGTAGGGTAAGATGGAGGCATCGGCATTTTTAGTAAGCTCGCCCATGGTGGTTTATGCAAACGAATTGTGGCGCTGACCCCTTGATATAGTGGCAGCCATTTAAGAGGACAACACAGTTTTATAAGAGCTAAGCAGGAGAGGGGCTTCTAATCCCACTTGGGGAGACAGGAGAGCAGGGCCAGAGTTCCCTGAGAGAAGGAGTAGGTGCCTGAGCTGGTCCTAAAGACCAAGTGAAACTTCAAGAAGCAAAGAAGCAGAGAAGAGGTGGAGCAGGCAGAGCACAGGGCAGGTGCAAAGCCTCCGGAGAAGGAGGCAACTTGCCAAGGGGGCCCCATGGGCTAGCTGCAGAGTTGGAGGGGGCCCTGTCTCTGGGCTCTGAGTGATTCCACATTGGCCCTGAGCCCCAGCTCTTCCTGCTGAGCCCAGAGAACTGTTTCCCAAACCAGCAGAGGCTGGTGTGTTTACCAGTTACTCGGCAAAGAAAGGGTTCCACTGCCAGATTAGTTGCGAGGATGGTGGATCGAAGTTACTTAGATTCTTTACTTCAGGACCTGTCAGAGCCTTTACTCTGCTAAGTGCACTGTGACTCTTTAAGAAAGAGTTTGAGGATGAAGTCTACTGACCATGGAACCCTTTTCCTGAAAAGTACCTGCTAGCATTGCAGAAAACAGTTTGGTGGGCCCTCAAAAACTTAAAAATACAACTACCATATGATCCAGAAATTCCACTTATACTCAAAAGAATTGAAAACAGACTAAAAGCGGATATTTATACACCAATGTTCCTAGCAGCATTATTCATAGTAGCCAAAATGTAGAAACAACACAAATATCCATCAACTAATGAATGGATAAACAAAGTGTGGTCTGTACATACAATGGAATATTCTTCAGCCTTAGGAAGGAAATTCTGACAGGTACCACAGCGTGGATGGACCCTGAAAACATTATATAAAACAAGCGAGACACACAAGGACAAATATTGTACAGTTCCACGTGTGGGAGGTACCCGGAACAGGCCAATTCATAGAGACAGGGAGTAGAATAGAGG